AGGACGAAGAAGGAACCTCACTGAAAACAGTTAGTTGTGAGTAACGGTTCCAATTTGCCTGATCAAATTGCCAGCGTGGGTTACGAAGAGGTGGTGAATATGAAGGGGAAGTAAGAATGATTGGGAAATGACCGCTGTCATGTAAATCCGGGAGAACAGACCAGGTGAAGTCTAATGTGGCGGAGGAAGAGCAGTCTGAGATCAATGCAAGAGAGAGTATGAGTCCGAGGATCAAAATGGGTGCGAGTACCTGTATTTAAAACATGGAGGGGGTGGGTAGCAAGAAAAGCCTCTAACTGAATGCCACGGAATCACAGTGAGACCCTTCTCCAGAGGAATTGATGGGCATTAAAATCGCCAAGTAACAGAAATGGTGGCGGTAATGATGAAACAAGAAAGGCAATATCCGGGATAGATAATGCCCGAGAAGGAGAGAGATACAAAGAACAGTGTATACCACCTATGCAAGTAGATACGGGCTGCTGTGTAATGCAGCGAAGTACGAACAAATAGCTGATGGTACAGAATATCAGTGCTTAGAAGAAGGGCACTTTCATTAAAGGTCCCATCAGGAAAAGGATCTGAAGAATACAATAAATTATAGCCTGAGATGGGATAGATAACAGCAGAGTGTAATTTTGGTTCCTGTAAGCAAACACCAACAGGGGAAAACTGGGAGAGCAACATCTGAAGCTCACCCTGATTACCCGAGGCTGCGTACATTCCATTATAAATAGGCCATGACTGGCAACGATAAAGATACCTGAAGTCCGCAGATAAGGGTACCTATGGACTAGAGGGGTTAGAAAAGTCCACATGCGGTGGCAAAGGAAAACGTTCAAGCAGCGAAGGAACGGTGCGCTGTGAAGAAAGGAGTTGCGCAGATGGAGAAGAGGAAAGATAAGGAACAGAGGGTGGATCAGTGTCCATTGATGGTTTGGTCTCAGCAATATATTCAGAGATTGCTTCAAGTGTTTCGGAGTTCAGAGACGTCATATGGGAGACAATATTGGAGATGGAAGGAGGGGGAGTTTGAGTAAAGATCAAAACTGTAATGGACTGTACCATGGTGGGGGGGGGGCAAAAGAGTGGAGGGAGCTGGAGAAGTGTGGGAGGGGACAGAAGAGGCAGAAACCTGGGAGGTGGCAGAAGAGGAAGAAACTTGTGAGGGGACAGGGGAGGAAGGCACAGTACGTGGAGGATGAACCTCCACACTTGTAACGGAGCCAGTGAAAGGGGAAGACCCAGGTACAGAGACCGGGAAGGTAAAATGTGGAGGTGGATGAAGGGAAGGAGGGATTAAAGGAGATTTGTTGGACCTCTGAGAAGTAGAGGGACGATTGGGAGGAGGTGTCGTACGAGGTCTTGTCAATACTGGGTTTGTGAGGGAGAACACGAAGAAGCGAGGATGGACTGAGGTGTTGAAGTAGGGATGTCTGAACCCAGGACAGCAAAAGAATTAGATACAGGAGTGACTACGGGACTGGCAACCGCGGAGGAGGCTGCAGAAGATGGGACCCCAGAAGTGGGGGTACGTTTTGAAACACGGGGTAGTCTCCCTTGGAGGTGGAGATGAGAAACTGTCATAGCATAAGAGAGACCTTCTGCCTCTTTGAGGCAATGAACTTCCCACTCATTTAATTAGACCTGGCAATGGCGAGAGTATGAAGGGTGAGCTTCATGACAATTAAGGCAAGAGGGAGGTCAACTGCAAGACGTATTAGAATGGTCATCGGCACCACAGACTGGGCATTCGGCTATAGATCTGCAATATTTTGCTGGGTGGCCAAATCACCAGCAATTCCAACACTGTTGCAGTGTAGGGATCACCTTCTGAACTTGTAACCGATGTCCTGCTACATAAACAGAGGATGGGAGTTCACGGCTGTCAAAAGCTAAACGAGCCACATTGCAAGGGTAACGTCTTCGCCCATGGGCAGGAAGAACATAAGTGTCTACCTTGAGAATTGGGAGATCTTGGAGTTCCAGCTGTTCGAGAATGTCATTGCCACATGTCTGGAAATTCTGTTGGACTACGGTATGGGGCAGAATAACAGTACCAATACAAGAAATGAGGGAATGATGTTTTTTGACAGTGATAGGAATAGTATCAATATGTGAAAGAAGAGAAAGATCATGAGCTTGGGTAGAATTCTGGACTGTGATGCGCGTACCACTCTTAAGAGCATGAAAGGAAATATCTCTACCAACGTGGCGTAGGAGCGCTTTGCCAATACTATGGTCAGAAGGATGGGCAGTAGAAAAAATCGGTCTTAAAGTAAAGAATTTAGTCCATTGTGTCGTCCGAAACAGTGTGGAGAGGGAGCGCATGATGTGTTGGTCTTTTCCGAGTAGAATGGGAAGGTAACGAAGTAACGTCATCAGGAGATTGTCGTTGGCATTCAGAAGTGGGAACAGAGTCGGTCCGACATGGGACGGGTTGGCAATTCGAAAATCGCCGCACCATAGAGGGAGAGGCCGGAAGCATAGTCAAAGGAGAGCGGAGGTCAGACAAATCGAAGGAGTCAGTTGAAACCCCGGCACCAGAAGTGGGTGACGAAACAGCACCAGCAAGAGGTGCAGGGGCCTTAGGGGTGTGCGAAGAGTGGCCAAAAGACAAGGCGAGGTCAGAACGGGGGGCGGTAACAATAAGGGGCCCAGGGGTAGCGGGGTCATGGATCGGGTACTCCATGGTTAGGTTACTTCTTTCTTTTTGTTTTTAAGAAAAAAAATAAAAATAAAAAAAAGAATAAAAAGAGGGGGGACCAGGGAAGGCTAGTTCCTAGGAAGAATGAAAGGGCCAGAAATCTCCCTCTGCGCCCAAGAGGACCTCAGCAGGGCAAGTAGCAAGTAGCGCAGATGCAGCATGGAACCCGTGCCATACCCTACCCTTCATGCCAGTAAACCAGCAATGGTTGTGCGAATTGCGATACAAGGAATGCCTGTGTACAACATTGCAATTCACACAACCATTTAATTAACTAAAGAAACTTAAGACTTATCGCCACAGAAGACCACACTCAATACCGAAGAATCCTGGAATCATCGCTTATCTCTATAACCAACAATTTCAACCAGAACAATGGCTTCTATAACATAGCTGAACCACTTGCCAAGAAACTTCTTCATCGCTATCCCACATAAGAACATAGAACACTGCAGAAGGCCTACTCACAACTTGTCCAATACCCCTGCCAAGCTACCCAAGACTATAACCCCACCCGGTAGATCAGATGCAACATTCTTCACCTGACCAACATTCTGAACCTGACTATAAATACTCCCATACCTTTCACCCCAGGTAGATGTGTGGGTGACTTGAAAAAGCCCACCGTTTGCACGAAACGTTGTCAATAAAGGATCACATTAAACTACATGTGTGTTTATGTTTCCACATACATTCTACAGTTTGTGCCAAACTCTTTGGTATTACAACCCATGGAAGTAATAGTTTATTCTATCATGTTCATGAGGATGGTGCTGAACCTGTAGAGGGGAGGGGGGAATGGGAAAAACAGGTTCACGACACAGTCCAGGAATAACTAATTCTTTGGATAAAAATCCTCAAGGAACGAGAGGTTTCATCCAAGGGAAGATACTTGAATTCCTTGGAGATGTATTCCTTCAACTGCATCAAGTTAGATAAAATGGCAGATATTTTAGCCCTATCATAATGCTCTGCCAAACATGGCAGTGCATTTATAAAAGGCGTTTGTGCTTGCAAACAAACATCGAGCAGTCAAAAAGTAGAGGTATAGCAAATGCAGGGAGTACCACCGAGGCTACGTCACCTGAACGGCACAAGCATTGACAAGCACTAACACCCCCCCCCCCCAGTCTAGGAGTTATGCAGTGCTGTTGCTTCCACCATTAGTAATAGGCATCAAAGCTAACCTAGCTATTGTGCTAGGATGCCCTGGGCACATTACAGTAATAATCAAGTGCTAAACCCACAAGGGTCATACAAGTCCTAGGCACCTAATTTTCACATCTAGTTAAAAAAAATCATGGAAGAAGCACTAAACCTGTGGGGGAGAGCACTTTTGCAGTATGGGTTATTGTCAGATTCAGTCCAAGAAGAGGGCAACTTAAATTCTTTGGATAAAGAGCCTTCAACAGCATTGAGGTACCTATGTGGCAGTGCCAAGGAAGGGGTGCCTTCAACATTCTCAGCCTCCCCCCCTCCCTAATTATCAAAAAGCACAAAAAAAAAAAAAATTACCAAGAATGGGGGTTTGAACCCGCGGCAAGTCTCAAAACTCCAGACCATCGTGTTAGCCACTGGGCCAGCTAGCTTCAATAAGATTTGTCCAACTAGGTATATTTCTACACCATAGGAAGGTTAGCATAGGCACCACCGTGTCCACAAATGCAAGCTTTTACAGACTAATCTCCCGCTAGCATGGCCGTGACGAACTATCTCAAGTCTCCTCAAAGCAGTCAACATGATTAATGAAATCGTAATGACACAACTGCAAACCAACCATACCACAGGCTCAAACCCCATCTGTGGTATAGTTTGTTTGCAATCGTGTCATTACGATTTCGTGAGTCAGTACTAAACCTACCAGGGTCATCCCCCCCAAATAATAGGTAAAATGCTGCTTTCAGAGGAAGTCTTATCCCCCCCTCCTCTCTCCCAACCAGCCACCCATCAACCTTCCCCATTACAGAAATTCTGGCACTGCCTCTGCCTTTAATAACCGCCACTGGAATAGCAACCTACTTGGGTGAAATCACACGATTTGACTGATGAAAACTAGATATAACCAAGGGGGAAGTGCTAAACCCTTAGGATTATACAGCACCTGTGGTAGATGTAGAAAGTAATCAGGTTTAATTCAGGAAACGAAGACAGATCCAATTCCTTAGATGAAGAGCCCCTCACCAACATCAAGGAACCTTCCTCGAGGGGAAAACTAGATAAACTGTAAAAACTAGCAGTGTTAAGATACAGTAACTTGCAAATTTACTGGCAAAAAGGATTCATAAAACATACCTGAAATTAAAGTCTTTTATTGGCCAATATTAGTTGGTCACAGCCTACATAATATTCCATTAACATACGAGACAATACAGGCCATAGACTAAACTTTAATGGGAACGCTTGTTGGAGGTGATGAAATCCATCGAATCCAACCAGTTTTACTAAACTTTTGATCACATTATGTTCTCTACATTAAAGTCTAGGATCAGTCTAGGCAGATTTGGTAAAGAAATTTAACACAAAGTCTAAATTACAGAACAATGCCAGTCTTGCAAAAATAATAGTGGGTTAAGCATATAACAGCCTGGCTACTAATTATCATCAACCCCAAATTTTTTTTTTTACCCATCTTTCATTCATCCACCAGTGCCCTTCACGTACTTTCAGCTGGAACCAATCCAGACATATTAGGCACCATCCACCTTCTGCATGTGCTTGAGGAGATCTATTACACGGGTAGAATAGCCAAACTCGTTATCATACCAAGAGACTACCTTTACGAAGGTCTTGCTCAGCTGGATACCAGCTTTTGCATCAAAGATAGAGGATCGTACATCACCAGTGAAGTCAGTGGATACAACGTCATCCTCGGTGTAACCCAGGACACCCTTGAGGGGTCCCTCTGAAGCAGCCTTCATCGCTGCCTTAATGTCATCATAAGAACATTCCTTACCAAGCCGGACTGTCAGATCTACAACAGAGACGTCTGGAGTGGGTACACGGAAGGCCATGCCTGTCAATTTTCCATTGAGTTCTGGAATGACCTTGCCAACAGCCTTAGCAGCACCAGTGGATGATGGGATGATGTTTTGGGCAGCACCACGGCCACCACGCCAATCCTTGGCAGAGGGACCATCTACAGTCTTCTGGGTAGCAGTAACAGCATGTACTGTGGTCATCAAGCCCTCAACAATTTCAAAGTTCTCGTGCAGAACTTTAGCAACAGGAGCAAGGCAGTTGGTTGTGCAGGAAGCATTGGATACCACAGTCATATCCTTTGAATATTTTTCCAGGTTGACTCCACAAACAAACATTGGAGCATCAGCAGAGGGGGCAGAGATAACTACCTTCTTTGCACCACCAGTGAAGTGAGCCGAGGCCTTCTCAATAGTGGTAAACACTCCAGTGGACTCGACAATGTATTCTGCACCAGCCTTGCTCCATGGAATGTTTTCTGGTTTCATCTCATTGAAGACTGCAATCTTGTGCCCATCGACCACCAGAGCTCCATCCTCTATCTTCACCTCCCCCTTGAACATGCCATGGGTAGAGTCGTACTTGAACATGTACACCATGTAGTCTAGAGCAATGAAGGGGTCATTCACTGCCACCACCTAGGATGAATAGAAACCCCTTTTAAAATTAAAGTTATAGAAGTGGATGCATAATTAATTGCTACCAATCTTAGGGCAAAGTAGTTAACATGATCAGGGGATTTTTTCTTAGAAAAATGTAAATATTTTTAGGATCATGAGTAGAAATGGCAAATACTATTCATCAAAAACTAATAGAAGTTTAGTTTCCACTCAAAACAGTACCAATTGTCACCTGTTTTTTCTAAAGTGAAAAATATTTTACATATCAAAACGAAGCAGTGTTAAATTTTGAAGTAGAATATTTAGCTTAGAGCCATATTTTGCAGAAATTTCATGTACTATAATTTTATTAGAACACAAAGCTATGGGGTCTAGACAACTTTCCACTAAGCTTTTACGAGAAGTATGGGAATACCAGCAAGTTTCATGGAGAAAACAATTGAGAACTATGCCTACACAACAGGCTTTGAATGATGCTACTAAAATTTGTGCAGGCGAAACACTGCAAGTTTCCAGTAGCTGCTTTGGTTATCAACTAAAACAGTCCATTTAGTTGTGTTATACTTTCCCTGCGTGTTATTTTTAGACACGAATTGTACATTAAACTAAAATTGCCACTTAAAGAACCTGAGTAAACTACAACTGCCATACGAGGTCAACATGGAGACTGACCTCTGCGCCATTTTGAAGAGCGGCACGCAGAACAAGGCGACCGATGCGGCCGAATCCATTAATACCAATCTTCGACATTATGGTGGTAGTGATGGTGGCGAGGTGTTCAGAGAGGACTTCTGCAAAGATAAGTTACGGGTTTAGTTAAACTGAAGAAATGGGATTTTAGTTTCTCAACTGCACTAGGGCGTTGTCCAAATCTGTACCACTGGAGCCGGCAACTAATACTTAAAATATAACGGGCTTTAAAATATAAACAAGTATCACTTAGCTAAAAGCCGGTTAAGATTTTTTTTCCAATATCGAACCCATGATAATGTATCAACAAAAATTTTTTTTTTCAATATGCTCCACCCACCACACTGGTCTGGCTAGACTGACACCGAGCGGTTCGCTGCAGCATTATTTAAGGCAGAGACTACGTCACCGGTGGTACGATGTTGCCAACCGCGTACTTTTTTTTTTTTTTTTTTTGTTACCACTACTTTTATCTTACTAATCATTTATTACCAATCCAACAAATTATAGTCATTCAGCTTACTCTTGTCAAAGAATATCCCTATATTTAAAGATTTAATTACCAACACAATGCTTATTTTCAATGGCAATTCACGCCGGCCGGCACTGCGCGTGCTCTGGGTGTCTCTTGGCACCCTTGGCCGACCTTCAGATCAGGGCGTAGAGGACATTTTCAAATACACTGATAAAAGTCGAATCACCGGGGAAACTAAGTTGTCCTGTATTATCTCTAGCATTGGCCAACTACGGCTAATGATAATTTAGATTTTTATATATACTTCTGAGTCTACTGTACCTAGACTAAAAATAAACTAGGACCACGTCAAGTCACCTTTAACAGTCAATGACAAAGGTCAAATGAAGGAGACCTTCAGTATCAAGGAGAGATCATTCGTACGGGAATATTGAAAGCCAAGAAGCTTACCATTAACCTTTTATCCTAGAGGCTGGGGAGGAAAGTAAATATTAAAAGTTAGATACGTTTACATGATCAGTCCTAGGCCATATTAGTTTCAATGTTTAAGATAGTGGATCGAGCTAAAATTAGCGAGGCAGTGTGCAAAACCAAGTTTGCGAAGTCTGCAGCATTATGCATCTTTGTTGAGGCATTTTTTTTGTAGTCTGCATTCACAGTATCTTATCTCAGCTCTGAGACAAGTTGCCTATAATTTCCAATTTTGAAATTATCAGGCGTATGACAAATTACAAAATTATGGTTGCAGAATTTAGTAGCATTTAAACTGTAAATTTATACCCGTGTTCTTTAAGCCAGCCGAAATATATTTGTCACTAATTAGCCAGTATTAACAAACAGTAACTGTTCACATGATTGAATTACAAATTACGCTTTAAATCTGGCTCAATTTCTCAAATTAGATAAAGGGGGCGGTGCTGGCATAGTTTATGATTCCTAGATTTTTTTGCAAGTAGGTATAAAAAAAAAGTCAAAATAATCCAGACTAGCAAAGCTATTAAAGCCAAAATTACCACATTTCTGCTAGCACAGGATACTCATTACAGAAGTGTGGGGTTCAGAATAAATACTAATCTTAATTCTAGTTAGCTTCTATAGATGGCAGTCACGTGACTACTGTACATATCGGTACGAAATAAGCAATTTTCTTTCAATAATTATTGAACGATAATACGGATAACCTTTTAATTCTTCATTGGCAATAGGTCAAAATCTTGCAGGTTTTTGCATCATATCGATGTCACTGGTTTACCGTTATGAAAATTACTACAGAAGAACCAAGTTTAAATACGATCGACAAGCAATTTGTCACTCGTTATTAATTTACAGCGCGAGGTCCGAATTTAAACAGGCTTGGGTAAGAGGGCAAATAAGCACAAATTAACAAAGATAACATGGTAAAATCGAAACCTTTACTAAATCAGTATTAAGAATGTTGATATGATAGGTGGCCCATAGTCTATTAGGCAACGCTTTCGCTTCTCATGCTAAGTGTCCGCGGTTCTATCCCCGGTAAGGGTGGAAACATTGGGCGTGTTTCCTAACGCCTGTTGTCCTGTTCACTCAGCAAGTACCTGGGTGTTAGTAGACTGGTGTGGGTCGCATCCTGGGGAGCAAGACTGAGGACCTTCTCGATGACACTGCCTTTCTTGGGTTATCCCGGGTGGCTAACCCTTCGGGGTTAAAAATCCGAACAAAAATGTTCTTATACAATTGGTTTCTCAAAAAGTTTCAAAACCATTGTTATAAAACTTCCAAGTGAACAAAGAAAACAGTACAGACAGGGACTAGCAGAGCCATTGCCCATCTCAATGAAATGGTACCAAAATTATTGTTTATTGAGAAAGTAAAACAATCAGGGTAGCTTATACAAGTTAACCAGGCGTCCGAGAGAGCTAACAAGACTGTACACCCTACCGAGCTCCACTAGGAAGTATTCCCATGCACTAAATGCCCACTGGGGGCGAAATTGTCGGCATTTCCAAACAGTTCTTGTGCCACACTAAGCTGTCAGTGTTAGACCATGACAATTCAGTTTGTATTGATATGTCAATCACTATCCACATACCCAACCATTTCAATATTTCTAAGCAAATCCTGCAGGGCACGGCAAACCTATTAATGAGGTACCCATAGTTTGTTGTATTTACGCAAGCTGCTAAATAAATCTATTCTATTCTCTTACTACTGCTCACATGAGCTGCCGGTGAGCAAATAACTGTTCAGACGTCAAAACGTTGTGGTTGGTTAACAAGGCTTAAAGCCTATCGGCTACGCGAAGGTCACTGAGGAGGAAAGAAACCTGCTCACTAGTAGAGAACAATAGGAATTTAAACACCAACACCTGTGTACCTTTCGTTTAATGTTAGTGGACACATTATTAATAGGTAAAATAGCAAGTTTAAAGCTCTCGTGAGCTTTAAAACTTGCAAAATACAATACACTGCTAGAAATAAAGTAAAGACTGGCAACGTTACTGCATCACTGGCACAAACTGTGACATTGCATTTTATTGTTAATCAGGAGGAAATGTTAAAACCTGTAGGAGTCATGTGTATGGACGGCAAAAATTTTGGTAGTCCCGATACAGATAATAAATTTTAGGCCGATACCATATAAATTAGCAGATACCCACCGATACCGATGTTTGGCACATCGTCTCATAGCCCCTGGGTTTCAGGGGGATTAAGATTCCCATCCCCCTGTATATTAGTCAAGAATACTTTATCCTTAAAACGGTTTATAAATTAAGGGTGCAAACTCAATTAAGATTTTATTCAAATTCATTAAAAGTTAAGATTTATTTGTCTTCCATAGTAACAGGTGTAAATTACCTAGAATAACCAATAGCCAAACAGACTTTTCTGCACTATCCAATACCTGCTTATCAATATACTGCGCTCTGGTACCACATGCACGAGTCTTGGTTAACATGTCTACACCATTACGGTACCGACCTTTCCTTCTGCTCGAGTCCTATTACAAATATTTACTATGATTTTTAAAATATAAATTACATAAAACGTTACATTAACAAAATACATTACACGTGAATACGTTTTATTATAACTAATAATATTTATAAAGTTACATAGTTACGAATTGGTATATACACGTTTTATTCTTAGTGTTACCAAAGATATGCAAATGAATACGAGATCAAAGCTTATACTGCAAAATAAGTTAGCACTTCATTTCTGGTGGCTGTGGTATGGTAATGCCGACAAGCCGTAGACAAGACACTTATGTACCGTATATCTATCATTAGTTTAAGCGTCTTTTTGTCCCAGGATGCGACCCACACCAGTCGACTGACTCCCAGGTACCCATTATACTGAGGGGTAAACATGGACAACAGGTGTAAGGAAACATGCTCAATGTTTTCACCCCTGCCGGGAATCGAACCCAGACCCTCAGCGTGTGAAGCGAGAGCTTTGCCTACCAGGCCACGAACCAGGGAAGGAAGGATAAAACCAGGTCTTTCAATCAGAAGGCATTCACCGATGATTCAGTTTCAAGGGAATTATTCGAGCAAGCTGTGGCCATCCCCCCCCCCCCCATCACTCTTCAGCATTCAACATGGCGACAGCAACAGTTGCAGCGAAATGTGTTCTTTAGATACTTAAAATTCTTCCATCGTACACCGCACGCTTTTGTTCTTCCAATTTAAGCTAGCCAATTATTATTATTATAATCAAAAAAGAAGCGCTAAGCCATAAGGACTATACAGTTAAGCTAGCCAAAATAAGTATTTTAAAGAGGCTCTCGTATAAGGAAAAAGGTGACAGTATAATTTTAACAAAATAGTTGCTATTTAATACCTAAAATTCTTAAACGCTACTCTGAACTGAGCTAACACTGGTCTTTTATACAAATTTAGCAGACCAAGCCTAAAAGTATCTATAAAAAACCAGCATATCACATCACACATGGTAATTAGTACCGACATATATGTGCAACAAATGGTGTTCACTCACCAGGATTTTTTTTCCAATCAAATTATTGAAGCCTCTGCCAAAACTTATTAAACAGAAAGAAAAAGGCACAATAAACAAATAACCCGCACAGACAAACGACGTTTCAGTCCGACTTTGGCTATTAACTAGTCATTAATGGTCTAATTCAGACCGAAACGTCACAAGTTACTCCCACGAGTTTCCTGAACAGAAGCTCCCCAATACGCTGCATACACGTCTATATATCTATAAAAAAAATATGAACATTTTTTTAATTGGTTTGAAGTAAAATCCTTCCGCTGTGCCTTTATCTACTGCAAAACAGACTGACACTGAGCTTATGATAAGCTATACAAAGATAGTGTCTGAAGCCATTTGAAAACAGTGCATTCCAAACAATTTCTTCAGTGACTAACAAGTTAAGGTTTTACCTATTGGCGTTACAGTAGTGACTGAATAAGATTTGGAGATTGGTATTCCGGAGCCTTTAAGTCTCGAGCTGACGAAACCCATGGAGCCCCCACCCCGCCATGCGAGAGACTGATGGCGTTTGGACACACGCTAATATATAGGTGCGTTGCCACAACAACCAAGGTTTTACCAGCTATACGCGTCGATAATGATTAAATCCAACAGGCATGCATGCACATTTAAACAACTATCACTTTAGTAGACAGCAACTACACTCAAAGAAGTACTACCGTCCAGTTCTAATCAAACCAAGCTTTAAATAGTATTTTGTACCAGTAAGAATGCTGGCCCCGTCTTTTGTTTAGCGAACATATCTGTACTTTCATTCAGTGTACAAGCCACCTACCTTTCCTATTCCTGTAGTTTATTTCCCCAAGTTAGGGTGCTTATCTCTGGAACACTACATAAAATATTAAAAAACGATTACAGTCTGACCCCAATGGAAACAAGTCACTTACTTTTTTGGGGTTATCCTAGGCTCTCTACAAACATGCTATGCATGATAATCAATGTACCTGTGTATACCTGAATAAACTTACTAACGCTACATGCCACATACCTGGAGAGGGTTTCGAGGATCAACGTCCCCGCGCCCCGGTCTGTGACCAGGCCTCGTGGTGGATCAAAGCATGATCAACCAGGCTGTTACTGTTGGCCGCATGCAAACCAACGTATGAACTACAGCCCGGCTGAGTTAAGTTACTGACTTCAGGCTCCATTCAGTGCCTTCTTGAAGACAGCCAGAGGTCTATTTGTAATCCCCCTTATGTATGTTAGGAGGCAGTTAGTCTTGGGCGCCCCTGCTTTTCATTAGGGGGATGTTGCATTTCCTGCCCAGTCTTTTGCTTTCGTAGGGAGTGATTTTTGTGTGCAAATTTGGGAATAGACCCCAGCCTAGAGAGAGCAAGCGATTTGAAGAGAATCATTATGGGTTTGGTATCTAGTTTTGAAGGTTCTATCCACCCTATAATTTTCCTATTATAATAAAAAAGAAGCGCTAAGCCATAAGGGCTATACAGCGCTGATATGATTTTCCTAGATGTGGTAGATACACTGTTGTGATCTTTGTAGGCATGATCCTCTGACATCACTCCCAGGTCCTTCACAGTTTTTCGCGCTATTGTGGCTGGAATTTCTTTTATACTCTGATACGCTTTTAATTTCCTTGAGTTTTCCGTATCGGAGTAATTGAAATTTCTCTTCATTGAACTACACGATGTCTTCTGCGGCCCATGTAAAGATCTGGTTGATGTCCGCTTGGAGTCTTACAGTGTCATAGGTTTTATGCTGGAATATATAAAATATGACAAATAAAGTGCTTTCGCCAGTCTATATATACCTGGAGGGTGTTCCAGGGGTCAACACCCGTGGCCCAGTCCGTGACCAGGCTTCCCGGTGGATCAGGGCCTGATTAACCAGGCTGTTACTGCTGACCGCACGTAAGTCCAACGTACAAACCACAGTCCGGCTGATTGGGTACTGACTTTAGATATCTGCCAGCTTCCTCTTTATGGCAGCAAGGGGTCTACTGGTAATTTCCCTTATACCTGGTGGGAGGCTATTGAGTAGTCTTGGGTCCCAGACACTCGTTTTCTCTCTTGGTGTACTAATGGCACCCCTACTTTTTATTGTAGGTATGCTGCACTATTTGTGCAGTATTTTGCTTTCATAAGGAGTGATATCTGCATGCAGATTTGGGACCAGTGTCTTGGATTTTCCAGGTATAGATTGTGATGCAACTCTCCTGCATTCTTGCGAGTACAGATCAAGAGATTCAAAGCATTCCCAGTAATTAAGGCATTTGACAGAACTTAATGTGCAGTAAAGGTTCTCTGTATATTCTCTAGATCTGCAATTCTACCTGCCTTGAAATGGAGCTGTTAATGTGCAGTAGTATTCCAGCCTAGAGAGAACAAGCAATTTAAAAAGGATCATTGGCTTGGTATCCCATTTTTCTTGCAGGTGTGATAGTAACACCTATCCTTGAAGGCTAGATCCTCCTCCTCGCATTACTTTTCTGCTCTACTGTGCAAACAGAATCTGCAATATACTCAGTTCTAGCTATTATTTCCTCCAGTTTTCCATAACGGAGTAGTTGAAACCTGTCCTCATTGAACATCATTGTTTTCCATTGCCCATAGGAAAACTGTTATATATCCTTGGAGATTTACCATGTTCTCATGGATGATGGTCTCTTGCAGATTCTACTATCGTCTGCAAAGGATGACAGTGCTATAGTTTACATCTGCTATTAAAATCTAACTGCAAATGTTTCCACAAACTTTCCCAACCCCCATTCAGTTTTTCTTTTTTATTCCTTGTCTGTATGAGTGATGGAAGGGGAGGAGAAAGTTCAGCAGTATTCTCAACTATGTACGGCATTTTCATATATTACAAAAATGGCAATGGCAACTCTTTCGTCTCACACACTGTCTGTGGTTCAATCCCTGAAAGAGGTGGATACAAGTCACTAACTTTTTTGTTATCCTAGGTAACTTACACATGCTGTTATGTATGATAATTTATGTAACTATTTGTGTGCCTGTACCTGAACAGACCGGCTTACACCTGCTGTCTCTGTTCACCTAGTACTATGTACATACTTGAGTGTTAGTCGACTGTGTGGGCAGCATTCTGAGGAAGAACAAAGAAAGACCCCCAGTGGAAGCAAGGCAGTCCTCAATGACAGTGACTTTCTTCAGTTATCTTGGGTGGTTAATCCTCCAGGTTAAGAATCTGAACCAACTGTCTTTATGACAATGGAAGGGTTTGACAGTAACAAACTTAGTCATGAATGCTAATACAGCGGAACCCCCAAGTTTCGAATGCATCGACTATTGAACGTTTCGAGTTTCAACTGTTTTTATCACACCAATTTTGTCCCGAGTATGGAACGCGAGTATCAAACGTGCCTGGTGTTTCGAACTGCATACCAGACCTGTCCGCCTGCTCGTGTCCCCAGCACAGTTGTGAGCCAGTCTGGCTTTGTTTATGCTTGAGTGAACACTAACCTGCAGGCTCATTTAAACATTTCACAATTAATTAATTGTGTTTGGTGCTTATTTATTAACTGAGATTGTGAAATAAGCTACCATGGTGGTGGCAGATGGTATTGGCGGTTGGGTGGCGGCGGATGGTATTGGCGGTTGGGTGGCGGCGGATGGTATTGGCGGATGGGTGGCGGAGGATGGGTGGCGGCGGATGGTACTGGCGGATGGGTGGCGGCGGATGGTACTGGCGGATGGGTGACGGCGGATGGTACTGGCGGATGGGTGGCGGCGGATGGTACTGGCGGATGGGTGGCGGCAGATGGTACTGGCGGATGGGTGGCGGCGGATGGTACTGGCGGATGGGTGGCGGCGGATGGTACTGGCGGATGGGTGGCGGCGGATGGTACTGGCGGATGGGTGGCGGCGGATGGTACTGGCGGATGGGTGGCGGCGGATGGTACTGGCGGATGGGTGGCGGCGGATGGTACTGGCGGATGGGTGGCGGCGGATGGTACTGGCGGATGGGTGGCGGCGGATGGTACTGGCGGATGGGTGGCGGCGGATGGTACTGGCGGATGGGTGGCGGCGGATGGTACTGGCGGATGGGTGGCGGCGGATGGTACTGGCGGATGGGTGGCGGCGGTGGTTACTGGCGGATGGGTGGCGCGGATGACGGCGGATGGGTGCGGATGGCGGATGGGTGGCGGCGGATGGTACTGGCGGATGGGTGGCGGCGGATGGTATTGGCAGATGGGTGGCGGCGGATGGTACTGGCGGATGGGTGGCGGCGGATGGTATTGGTGGATGGGTGGCGGCGGATGGTATTGGTGGGATGGGTGGTGGGGGGATGGTATTGGTGGATGGGTGGGTGGCGGATGGTATTGGTGGATGGGTGGCGGCAGATGGTATTGGTGGATGGGTGCCAGCGGATGGTATTGGTGGATGGGTGGTGGCGGATGGTATTGGTGGATGGGTGGCGGCGGATGGTATTGGTGGATGGGTGGCGGCGGATGGTATTGGTGGATGGGTGGCGGCGGATGGTATTGGTGGATGGGTGGCGGCGGATGGTATTGGTGGATGGGTGGCGGCGGATGGTACTGGTGAATGGGTGGCGGTGGATAGGTGGTGGCAGATGGTATTGGTGGATGGTGGTAGCAGATGGTATTGGCGGAGGCAGATGGTATTGGCGGAGGCGGATGGTATTGGCAGAGGCGGATGGTATTGGTGGATGGGTGGTGGCGGATGGTGCCTTCTTCAGAAATTAAGGAGATTTGTACAATGTGGAATAGGGTGCAGGCATTTGCTGAAATATATCACCCTGATCAAGCTGAAACAAACCATCTCTGCAACAAGTTCAGTGACAGAACCATGTCCAATTTTAGGGAAATCTTAAATAAGGGAAGTAACCCTAGATAAGGACTTGTTACCTAAACCCTAGATAAGGACTTGTTACCAAACAATAAATTCCCTCACTCCTCCCTATCTTCCAGATGCCATCAACAATCTTCAATAATGCAAAGTAAAAATGTTATTTTATATGTTTATCTATTACTAATTGTACTATGTATATTTGTTGTGTGTATGTAAAACTATAATTAATCTCTATATAATGCATTTTTTTGTGAATATTTTTGGGTTTCTGAACAGATTAATTGTATTCACATTATTTCTTATGGGAAATGTTGCTTAGAGTTTCGAGCGTTTCGACTTTAGAACTAGCTCCTGGAGTGGATTAAGTTCGAATCTCAGGGCACTACTGTATATCAAAACACTAATCGAACATAAGGTAATCTGCTACTTTGTTGTTGGTTGAACAAATAGCTATCAATGATTTTTTCCAGTGATAAGATTTTGTTTGGGTTTTTAACCCCGTAGGGTTAGCCACCCAGGATAACCCAAGACAGGCAGTACATCATCTAGGGACTTATTTCCACTGGGGTCAGTCGACTAACACCCAGGTACCTATTTCTTTGCTAGGAGAACGGGACAACAAGTGTAAGGAAATATACCTAATGTTTCCACCCATGCTGGGAATCGAACCATGGACACTGATGCAAAAGCGTTGCC